GTTAGGCCTTCTTTTAGGTCATCTCATACAACCTATTTGTACTTTTTTTTCTTTAATATATTAGCTATTGGGTTTATATATATATATATATATATTGAAAAGCCAAAGGGCTGATTTTATTGAAATAGAAATGATACATAAAGGTTGTATGAGCAGAGCCCAAAAGAGACACCCTACCCATACGATACAAGTACAGTAATACCCCAATAAAAAGATACAGATAGACTTAATAAAATGTAAAATAAATTTAAAACATGCAGAAAACAAGTAGCTAGGGACGAGCCAGTTTAGTTCTGTCTCTTCTTCTAGTTTTATGAGCGGAGCTAGATAACAAACTTTGAAGAGTTGTGTCATTGCCAGGAGTAACCAAAGTATCATCCATTAAGTTTCCAAGTTGGAGTGCCCTCAGCCTTCTTCCGCCGAGAAGTGTAAACCTGACATTTTTCATCTAAAGACTGACTCATGTGATCTTCGGTCTGATTTGATGTTAGAACCGCAGTAGGAGGAGAGGCAGTCGTTGTCATCGCGATAGGTTCTAGTGTATGAGAAGTGTGAATTGTCACCTCTGCACCTGATGCTTCCTGACTAGGATCTGCGGGACTATCCTGATTTTCAGTTTGAAAATTGTCCGTTGTAGTATGGTCAAAAGAAGGGATCCTAGGGCAGTCACCAACTCCTGTCTTGCAGTGATTCCCTCATCAGGTTGACTGTCATCAGGTTTGCTAGGAGTTGGTTCATATGCATGAGGTGCACTAATAGTATGTTCCTGCTTTTGACTATTGGTTCTCAACTGTGGGTGCAATCTGAAACATTTCTCCTGCGGGTATCCAAACATGTTGCAGTGCTTACAGTAGTAAGGTTTTTGTTCCGTAATGATTTTTTGTCAATAACCATTGTGAGCAGATCCAAGCCAAACTTCTTCTACACCTGGTAGTGTAATATCTCGTTCAATCAGAATCCTTGCAATAGAGGGCATTGAGAAATGAACTGCAGGAAAATTTACCTGCAAAGGTTTTCCAAGGATAGTCCCAATTGCATAGAAGATAGGTAAATCAAAGAAATGAAGCTTAGGTTCAGACAATGAGAACCAGATAGGTGCAATTGGAGGTTCTTGACTGGGATCAAAATTAGGGGTCCATTTGAGCAATTTCATATATTTGCCCTCAATTGTGATGAAGTTTTTTGAGAAAATGAATTTCTTTGAGAAAATCTTTGTGTAAACTTCTTCTATGGTCTGCTGTATCATAACATGCCTTCCGTCGAAATGACCCACCTGTCAATCTCTAACTAGTTTGAAATCTTCAAAAAATCCTCATGATGATCTCCATCTTAGGGCAACCTAATTGGAACTTCCAACTAGTGTAAATTTATATTTTCCTGCATGAGTTCAAATTTCAGCATCAGAGAATAAAATTATTGATTTGACCGCTTTTTTCTTAACTTTTTTTGATGATATTGCAATCGTCATTTCTTGAAACGGAATCATGATAAATCTGCGGGAATTCCACATTATCTGTGAGGTGGAAAGGGGAGCTGCGTTTGTGAACCACTGTAGCATATGAGGGTTTGGCGAGATTATCCCCGGCGAAGGCAACAGCATAGAAAAATCCTGAGGCCATTAGCGTGCTTCACACAAGCACTGCAGCAAATGACGCAACCCGTATGCGAGCAGTTGAGCAGTTGAGCAGTTGAGCAGTCGAGCAGAGAATGTGGCGGAGCAGTCGAGCGGCCTTAACGAACCTGCAGCGCACGCAGACGCTAGCAGCAGGCGATGCAAACGATGAGACGACGCAGCAGGCGAGCAGGCTCGACAACGCGAACTCCTCCATCAGCTGAAGATGAAGACAAAGACGGGAAGGATTGAAACGAGCGAGCGAAAACAGACGTCTGTTTTGTTTCGAGCTAGGGTTCGCCATGAGCGAAAACCCTAGTAGAGCGAAGAAGGAGACCCATCGCGTTAAAGTTATATATATATATATATATATATTATGAAAAAGTCAAAGGGCTGATATATTAAAGATAAAGATACAGATAGGTTTGTATGGGTGAGCCTAAACACCCAACCCACACGGTACAACACACACAAAAAAATGTAAAAGATGGGTACATATAGAAATAAAAGAAACCTAAAAACCACCCAGGCGCTGAAAAAGTGTGGGTCATCCCAATCTAGTCTTGTCTCTGGCTCTAATTCTCAGTAGGGATCCTGCTAGCAGATTGGCAAGGTGTTGACCATTACCCGTAGTAACCAAAGTATCATCCATAAGACTCCTGAGCTCTAGTAAATATCCATTCTTCTTCTTCCTCCTGAAAGTGTAAACCTACCATTCCTCCTCCGAAGAATCCGCCTGATAGAACTCCTCCGAAGAATCCGCCTGATGGGGTAGAGCTGAAGCAGAAGGATTACCAGCGGTAATACCCACAATAGGTTCTACAATATGTGAAGTATGAGTTACCGCTACATCGGATACTTCTTGAAGAAGTGAAGCTGCGAGCCTCTCCTGATTAGGTGGCAACATCGCATCACTCGCAGTAACAGTAACAACAGTGTCATGGGGGTCCTCAGGTGCAACAAACACCTCTTGTCTGGTAGTATCCTACTCAGATGAAACTAAAATGTCCACAGCAGTGGGGTTAGACCAATCCTTGTTCACTTGAACCTTAGATTTCAAATTAGGATGAAATTTGTGGCATTTAGCAAGGATATGACCAAACATCTTATAGTGGGTACAATATGGGGGTTTGTGTTTCATGACGATTTGTTGCCAATACCCATTATGGATTGTGCCTAGCTAGACTTCAGTAACATGAGGTAAAGTAATATCCCTTTCCACAAGTATTCTAGCCACCGAGTGTCTGGTTATGTTGAAAGTAGACAACTTTAGTTTCAAAGTATCCCCAAGGATAGCTCCAATAGAGTAGAGAACCTGATGGTGAAAAAATGCAGCTTGAAACCAGACAAACTAAACCATACCGGTACAGTGGGAGTTTCATGATTTGGGTCGAAATTAGGAGACCACTTGAGTAACTTCATAGATTTGTCTTTGATATTAAGATATTTCTTGGAGAAAATTCTTGTGTAGTCTTTAGCCACTGTTAGTTGGATCAACACATGTCTTCTATCCATCAGACTTTTTCTCTTCCTTCTACTGTTGATCCCCCTTTCGACAACTCTACTGTTCAGCACTGTTAGGCGAGACGGGGTTACCGTTGATCCCCCTTTCAGCTTTTGCTCTTCCTTCTACTGTAACTTCACTGTCCTATCGCCGCGCCTCCCTCTTTTGGTGATGGCTTCACACAGATCTTATGTTGTTGCCCTTGCTGGGGTCCACGCTGCTGGTACTCCTAAATCGTGCTCCTCCTCTCCTTCGTTTGAGTTGGCGGAAGATATCAAGAAACTTAGTAGGAAGAATGGGAAGCTAACCATCTTTTTTACGGAAGTTGAATGTAATCAGCTTGCTTCCTCCCGACATCTAAATTGGGTCGGAAAATTTCTTTATGATCATCAAAAAATGAAACTTATTCGGAAATAATTTGAGATTATGCATCTTCTTAGGGAGCGAAAAATTGGACTTTTAGATGGAAGACACATACTTATTCAACTTAGTAATGAAGAGAATTACACATGCTTATTTACTAGAAAATTAATCCGGATTGACAACATACCTATGAAGATTTTGAAATGGTTGGTGGATTTTGACCCACAGACGGAATTACCAATCATTCTGGTCTAGATTTGCTTCACCGGCCTGACATTTCATTATTTTACTCAAAAAGTGTTGTACTGGATTGCCTCAGTCTATGGTAAGCCACTCAAAACGAACATTCCTACTTTTAATCTTTCCCGCCCCTCTGAAGTCAGGGTACTAGTTGAACGTGACATCACTTCAATCGCTTCTGAGGAAACTTGGTTAGACACACAACATCATAGATATTGACAAAAGGTTGTGACTGAGCCTTTTCATTCGTATTGCTTGAATTGTCGTATGTTCAACCACTCCAGTTCTCAATGTCACCATCTACACCCTCATCTCAGACTAAAGAAGCAAAGTGTTCAGCCAGAGGCAATGATTTCCCCTCCTCCTGATCTACTCAAAGTTATTGATACTATTGATCATCAGAATGATATTCCTAAAGATGTCATTATCCTCGCAGGTAATGTGTTAACCTTTCAACCCCCACACAATGCTCATGATGTAGGTTCCCCGTCTATGGAACCTCCTTTATTGGGGGCGGGGGAAACATTTCAGACTTCACCTGCCCTAGAACCTATCATTTGATGTAACGGGCGACAATATTTCTACTGCGTTTCTACCATCTCTTCAGGACCAGCAAGTTGTTACTGTTACTAGGAACATGAGGCTCATGATGTGCAACAACCTACACCTGTTTGACCACCTTTGGACCAATCCATTGATCAGATGAGTTAATCATCGGATGAGGAATGACAAATTTATATATCTAGGAAGAAGAAAAAGAATTGAGGCCTATTACCAAACTTGATGGATGATACATTAGTTGTTTCGGGTAATGAAAACAAAATTAGCAATTTGTTAGCTGACTTTGGTCCTAGAACCAAAGGTAGAGACAAGACTAAATTGGATATTTCACATGCTAACTGTACCACGAGTGTTGACAGACTATTGACGTATTTTTTTCTATGTCTACTTTTTAATCTTTGTTTTGGGCATTCATGTAATTCTATGTGTGTGTTGTATGCCGGGTGATTAGGGTGTCAATTTGGGCCCTTTCATCCAAACTATCTGTACATTTCCTTTTATTAATATATTCGCTTTTGGGCTTTCTAAAATATATGTATGTATGTATGTGTGTGTGTGTGTGTCTATAATTATAATTTATTTTAAATAATAATGAAATGATGAAATAACCTCTGATTGCAGCAGCCTGGATAGTATCGTGATCCTGTGGCCTACCTTTTCATTGATGGACAATCTCTTCTAGCAGTTTTTTGATTCTGCCACCTCCATGTTTTGTTTCAGGTTCGTAAGGCAAGTGTTGATGTTGCAATTAGAAGTTGGCCCCATATATTAGGATGTTCAACTCACAGAATGAACTCAATTGTTGTGCAATTTGGTCAGTTAGGTGTTTATGCTAGGCGGCTTGTTCCAGTTATTACTTCAAGCCCACAATTGCTATTAAGAAGACCGGATGAGTTTCTTCAGGTTTGTGTTTAGTGCCTTCTATCTTTGTGCTTCTTATTACGGTTCAGCTATTACATCCCTACCAAGCTGAAGCTTCTTATTATCTTCTATTTTACTAATCAACCACTTTTTACATATTTGCAAATCTCTTGTTTTAAGACATATGGGTGGTATTTTGTCACTTTATTTTCAAGCAAACATTATCTTACTTTATTTTAGAGTAATTTGCTTACTATGAAAAAGCACGCTAACACGGGAGCTGGGCAGGACCTTAGACCGGTTTGTTCCAGGTTGAGGGAGGGACGGTCGGCCCTTTCTAGGCCTAGGGTTGCCACCCAAATTGGAATGGGGCCCACACATAATAGTAGTAGGTCTATTTAAGTGTTTCTTTGATGTTTAGGATTCAGTTTTTGATTCATTTCAGATTGTAGAGCTACCGACTCCTCTTTTCCCTTTCTAGAATTGTATATGAGGGTTCCAAGTGGTGCTCCGACTATATCTTGGTTGATAGGTGATCTTTATCCTTGCTATACCTTTCCCCCATCCTTTCTCGCCTCACTCTCAAATCGTTTTCGTTATTTGCCTACCGCCGCTGCCCAGGGACAGTAGCTGTCTTGTGTCCTTCCCTTCCTATTTTCTGCCGCCACCCAGAATAGCCTTACTACGGCTGTCCCCCTTGCTGCCGCCACCTCGAACTGCCATCCCCACGGCTGTTCTGGCCAACATCCTTGCTACTGCTGCCCCGGACAACCCTCCTGCGGCATTCCCTGCTGCTTGCTTGCTGTCCGGACTCCAGGAAACAACTCATGGAAACATCTGTCTTGTTGTTTCCAGCTTGCTAGCCGTCTTCTTGTCACCAACCCTGAGATCCAAATCCTAAGTGACACCACCTGCACCTTATTCTCTAGTATTTCCTATGTTATTTGCTTTCAGTTTGTTGTATTTTTAATTTATGGATTCTATAAAATTACTAGTGGTTGTGTTGCATTTCACCTCATTTTATATCCATACCTATTCTGGTCTCTAATGCAGTTTGATTTTTGTTTACTATATATTGCATCATTTTATTATGTAAACCTTTTTGGAGCATTTAAGATGTATTAAAAATTGCTATTTCATAAACACGAATACTTTTGTGAATGAAACAAAGTGAGACCGCCTGTGGAATTTTATGGCAACTAATATATTTAAATGACTACTTTAAATCCATCAAAATTTTAGGAATCAAACAAAGCTAATGTTCTACTTTATCGTTAATATAAGGTATATTTGAACTTCTTCATGCAGTCTTTCGCAAGCTTTTGTAGCGATCAACTTATTTTGTTTGAGAAAAAGATTAAAATGGTATCTCGACAATTTTTGTTTGGCTGTTTTAGCCTCAGATTATCCAAATTCCCAATTCAGTCCCCCAACTCTTCAAATTTAATCCAAATTTATCCACAATTCAAATCAGAACAATGCTACAAAAACGTTCATGGATAAGGCAAAAAATTGGGTATCTTGGGAAAGGTGAAAATTCAGTATTTTTATGTTATTTGCCTTATTTCCTAATTTTACTGAATTCATTACTTACCCAAGCCGTCAAATGAGAAGTGCTTGATGAGAGAAATCTGGACCCAAAAAAAAAAGTTTGTGAATGCCGCAATGAGGAGCAATTTACGGGAAACCCTATGAGTTGCTGATTGGAAACTCATCAGAGGAAACAGAAGGCATGAAAGTGAAAGGAAGGTGGATGACGGGTGTTTGAGCTCATGCTAAACTAAACGAGTACAGACTTTTAAGTGGTGTTGTTTTCATTTATTTTTATTTGAGGTATTCAAAATCGATTGCTAAGATTTTGTTATTTGGGTAATGTAAAAGGCATGATAGTACGGGTACGACAAAAAATATGAGCGATGTCAGTGAGGAGATTATAGGGAAAATATGTCATACACCTTAGAGTAAGTTTCCCAATCAGTGACATTGGTTAGGTTGCCGATAATTATAGAAATCTATTAATAATAATAGGCAACGTTTACAATTTTTATGTGCATGGATTGAAATTTGATCATTGAAATGTGATCATTGAAAAATAAATTTTGAGAATGTTAATTATAGATTGTATTTAGTTTTTGAATGGCTAGAAATTTTAAATTTCTCAAACCTATTTGGGGTTTGATTGAGATGTTTGTTGTACAAACAATAAGGGAGTGATGATCGATATAGAGATAAATGAGAGTAGTGACAATGATGGCAAAGTTGATTATGAGTACTATGAGTAAAATATGTATGAGAAATTTCTTGAGTGTAATTATGAAATTGGACAAGATGACAAATTGTCTGAAGATTGTGTATCCTTTTATTGTATTTGTAGTCACCCAAGATAGGAGCAAGCAAAAGATTAGTTTATCTAATGAAAATGTTGATGAGAGATTTAAAGAGAAAATATTATGATATTCTTTGCATGAATTCTAGTGATGCTGCAAGTGTTAAGAGTGATTAAGATGGTAGTGAGAAGTGGCCAGTTAGATCACCTTGCTTATAGGACAAGGTCAGAAGACTTGCAGTTGGGTTGATTTCAATATTCTAGTCACAAGTCATACATGTGGACATGTAAGCTAAGAATTTGAGCCCTAACCATCTAGACCAGTCATTACTAGTGTATTGTGCCCTATACTTCAAATCAAACTACTTCAAAATATGAAGCATAAGTCAATAATCTAAATCACAAACATCGGGCGACCTTACATATAGGGTAAGGCCCCAGAGTTTGTAAGTTGCGTTTTGTCGATCAATGGATGGAAGCCCATCATAATTTATTAGGGTTTAACACAAAATCAAGAAACTTGTTAAATCAAAATTGGAGCCTTTCAATGGATGAAATTCTCATCCAAATTAACCAGAGTCTTTCAATAGTTGTAAGCTCCAACAAAACTTAAACTCATGATTGGTTCTATGCTAATAAGCCTACTATAAAAAAAAAATCCACCGATTAAAACATATTTCTGTTTAAGAAATGTTTCTTCGAGTCAAGGTGAAACTCGTGAATTATTGATGATAATGACAGTAAATCCCTCTTCAAGAGCATGAGTTGACTTCTACCTTAAGAACATTTCTTTGACATTTTTTTTCCATTTTACTTTACTCGAGATATGTTAAAGAAGGCAACCATGGTTGTTAATCAGATTTCTTGGATGTTATAATTTAAAGCCCTCTGATGTAGTAGACAGGTTTCATTAGTATGCTTGGGATGATGGACTCAAAAAGGACAATGATGGTCAACGTAAGATGCCATGATGATGATTGTACCTCGAACATGCCAGACGGCAATGAAATGGCTGCTAAAATGATGACCATGGTGAGTCAATGGTAGAACAAACACCGATGGTGTTATCGTGGCAAGTACATGGACAACTTTGATAAGATAGAATTCGAGGAGGTGGCTTGGCAAGTGTTGGTAATGAATAGCTTTTCTAGGGCATACTATTTTCTTGTATATAGCTTCTTAGAAAAATCTCATCATTGATATCATTGTTTGACAAAGAGCCCACCTGAAAGAAATCAAAAGCACTGTTGCAAACATGTGCAAGAACAGTGTGCTTGGAGAGAAGAAAATGAGAGGTCGGTAGTGTGGTGGAGGGTTGATATTGCAATCTCTATTTGACTCATAAAGCAAATTCTTCCATCAATCCTTTTCACATTGTGAAAACTAGTTTCTAAACTTGTTATTTATATGTATAAAAATGATACTTTCACAAAAAAAATTATCATGCATGAATTTGAAGCATTTTGAGTAAGAAACTATTCCAAATGTGATTTTATGATCGTCTAAGCTCTGATTTCATCAAACTTATAATCAAATTGACCTTAATGAAGACAAATTGGTTTGATCTGAGCCCGATCAAGCCCAGATCAAGCATGATTTGAGGCTTTAGATGAGAAATTGAATGATCAAATGGATTTTAAGTCTGACAAGCTTATAGGCAAACCGATTGTCTCATCAAGTTGAATCCAATGAGCTCAAGATCACTTGATTCTGACATCATTAAGTCATTTAAATCTCATAAAATACCATCTGATCAAAGAGGTTACTCTGGGTCATTCGATGGAGTGGTTCAGGTTCATTTGGTATTTACAGAGGTTGTCACTCACAAAATCTATAAATAGGCCCCAACTCCCTTCATGAAAGGGGGGCTTAGGATCTGGACTTAGAGGAGAAATGTGAAGGAGCTCCAACCTCATGAGGGTTCTTAAGCTCCACCACAGCTGGACTGCTACCGACCGACTGCCACCATTGCTGCTTTACCACTAACATTGAGTGGTTGACACCTCTAGACCACTATCACCGCTTTTCGGCCACTGTCGACTGACCACCTCCATAGCCAGGTCGTCGTTGCATATAGTCGTCCCCACAGCCAGACCAACTCTGCCCGTAGCCATCGCCACTACTGACCGATCACTGCCAACGCCAATCGGTCACCATCTCCAACGTGCCTCAACTTCCTTATTATCATCATCGAGTTGCTGCCATTGTCGAACCACCATTTTCTGGCCACCACCGTCTGGCTGTCGCGATTGCCAGACCAACAGTGCCCGGCCACCGCGGTCGAGCCAATGCCACTGTCGGACCATTGTTGTCTGGCCAACGCCTTCGGGCCGCTGCCACCAATGGAGTGTTGTTGTCTGGTCATCGTCATCGAGCCGTCGCCACTTTTTGGCCACCGTTGTTGGCTGCCTCTACCAAAGACACCTGAAGCAAATTCTCTAGCACACGACTCATACTATCGATTTTTTTACACCAACATTTCCTCAACATTTTCTGCTACTTCCCTAGGAAAATTCACATCCCAGTTGTGTAATATTGCTTTCAACTATTGAAGTGCCAGTAAAGCCTTGTAACATACATCAGTAAACCCCATGATTTTTACCTCTTTGGATTTCCACTTAAAAATTTCTATTGTATTTTCTGTCAGCTTATCTTTACATGTATGTGTGTTTGATTTTTTTGTACACTAAGACTGATCTACTATTGTGAATTTTAC